GAAATTTGATGATGGCATAGTGGTCAAGCTTGTTTCTTCTGGGGGCGCTCTTCCGGGGGTATCTGGGCTGCCTTTGAAGTCTCAGTGTCTTAGTCTGCTGGAAGGTGGGTGACGTGCGGATCTTCTTTTTTTTTTTTTTTTTTTTGTGGCTGTGGACGCCCTTCAGGACGCCTTCTTGGCCTTTAATGCCTTTGCTTTGGCTTCAGTTTTGGGAGGGGCAGGGGCTTCCTTCTTCGCTTTCAGCACCATCTTTGAAAAAAGCTCTAGGGTCTTTTTTTATTTTTTTCTAAATTGTGTCCTCTTACTCATATAAATCTTGAGCTTTCCATCCTCAATACAGGTATACTTATCACAAAGCCTTAATACCAAGTCCTATACTAAATACTAACCAGCGGTTGTCTCTGAGTTCATCCCAACTGATGGTGTTTTTAGTAACTGTTTTTTGGAGAAGTAGATAACCAGGATTTCCCTCTGTGACACCACAGAGTGGACTTGAATCACCAATCTTTCTGTTAACAGCTGAGCTGCACTGAAGACATTCGCCATTGCCACCACCCAGGGGCTCCATAGTAAATATTGCTGTGCCTTTGAATCAAGCACGATGCATAGTAACCCTATGAACAACAGCGTTGAAGCCTGTGCTATCCTGTGCCATCCTCATCATCTCTGACACACTCAAGCCCGTTGCTGTGGTCACTGTCAATCCAGCCTCTTGAGGCTTCTCCTCTTTTACCGACCCTCCACCTTTCCAAGCATGATGTCTCTCTCCAAGGACTGGCCTCTCCTACCAACATGCCCCTTCAATTTGTCAACCTGCCTGGCTCCAGGCCTTGGACCTGTTGAGTGGGCCTCTTAGGAGTTAGCTGGGCCCTGCAGGCCACAGACATTGGGCCTCCTGAACCGTATCTTGCATCTTTAAGCATCCCAGGCCATGCACCTCCACCTTGATGAGGGAACCCCTTCTGTCAGCCATGATATCTGTATGTTTGTTTATCTGTAGGGTTTGCTCACTTGCCTGACAAGGTTTTGTATTGGGGGACTGATCTGCATGTTGCTGTTTTTAATAGCTTAATAGCTCCCAGAGGCCTGGAGGAGCAGGCTGACTTCCACACACTGCAGATGCTGCCTCAGCAGGGCCAAGGCCCAGGGTCAAGAGGGTTAGGCTGACTGTGCCAAGATCCGTGCCAAGAAATTTGGAAGACAGCTGCCTAGACAACTGACTGGCAGAGATCCATGTCTGTTCTCATTCCCAAGAAAGGTGATCCTTTCACAGAATGTGAAAATTATTGAACAATATCATGAATACAGCATGCAAGTAAAATTCTGCTGAAGATCATCCAAGGAAAGCTAGAATAGTAAATTGACAGGAAATTCCAAAAGTACAAGTTACGTTTAGAAGGGGCCTTAGCACCACAGACATCATTGTCAGTGTCAGACGGATCTTGGCAGAAATCAGAGAATACCAGAAAAATGTCTATCTGTGTTTTATTGACCATGCAACAGCACCGGACTATTGTGGATCACAGCAAACTATGGTTAACACTGATAAAAATGGAAATTCCAGAACATTCAATCATGTTTGTACGAAACCTATACACAGACCAAAAAAAGAGATCTGAACAGAGCAAGGGAAGACTGCATGGTTTAAAATCAAGAAATGAGTGTGTCAGAGCTGTATCCTTTTTACATATCTATTCAATCGGTACTCTGAACAAATTATTCAAGAAATTGGACTCTATGAACAAAAAAGTGGCATCAGGACAGGAGGAAGACTCATCAATAATCTGTGTTGTAAAGATGTCACAACCTTTCTTGCTGAAAGTGAGGAGGACTTTAAGTACTTGTTACAGAAGATCGAAGATTACAGCCTTCAATATGGATTACATCTCAATATCAAGAAGACAAAAATTCTCACTGCTGGGCTGATAGGCAGCATCATGGAAAATGGAGAAAAGACTGAAATGATCCACAATTTCCTCTTTCTTGGATCTACAATCAACACTCTTAGCACCAGCAGTCAAGAAATCCAAAGACATTGCATTAGGAAGGTCTGCTGCCAGGGATCTCTCCAAAGTACTGAGGAACAACGGCATCAGTCTGAAGTCCAAGGTGCACTCCAATCTTTTCAATCACTTGCTATGCATCTGAGAACTGGACAATAAATAAGAATGACAGAAGAAAAATAGATGCCTTTGGGAATATATTGTTGGAGATGGGTTCTGAATATCTCATGGACTACCAAAAGAACAAACATGCCTTGGAGAAGGTGCAGCCAGAATGATCCGGGGAGGCAAGAATGAAGAAGCTTCGTCTAACGTTGGGTATGTTGTTGTTGTGTACCATGGAGTTGGAACTGACCCATAACTGAGGGAAGCCGACTATCAAATTTAATAATAGTAGACCAAATGCTGTTTCAGGAAATGAGGGAAGCTTGATACAAACTGAAGGCCACCTTGTGGCAATAGGAGTTAACATTGTTCTTAGTTTGTGTCAAATGAACCCCTCCCTCTTGAGATTAGCATAAAGAGGAACTTGGCCTTATCTGTAAAAGACTTCACCATTATCCTTTGTTTTTGATTTGTACTTCCTTGTGATTTTACTTTGCTTACCTTCCTTATGATTCTAAATACTCAGAGAAGCATGGCGTGTGGCCTTCAGTCATGGGAACTGTCGGCCCCCTGTTTTTCACACTCTCTGTTCTATATCATTCCTGGTAGTCTGTCTCATTATTAATAATTATAAAATTATTTCATTCTTTGGGACCCTCGGTCTGCAACACATAACTTATCCTCCAGTGGGTTTTCAGAGACAGTAAATTGCACAGAAGGAGTTGTCCGTCTTTCTCCTGGAGAACAGCTAATGCATTAGAACCACAACTCCTTACCACCAGGCCACCAGAGCTCCCTTCGACCATATTGTAGAAGAGTGTACTCTTTGGTGGCAACTACTTCCTAAATAGCTTGCCTCTGGAAGCCCTATGAACTTTGATAAATGTCAATAGTTGTAGAAGGGCTTCAAGACTTTTGTTCATAGGGTCGCTATGAGTCGTGCTTGACTCGAAGGCAATCAACAACAACAACAATATTCTTTGGCATACTTTCCTCATGAGCACAATCAAGTGCTCTGGGATTCCCATTTTTCTCAATGTCAGCCACACTTGTCATGATCCACATAGTCAAATGCTTTTGCATAGTCAATAAAGCAAAGCCTACAGCACCCAGTAGCCCCAGGAGGTCTCCCATCCAAGTACTAATCAGGCCCGACCCTGCTTAGCTTCTGAGATCAGAGGAGATCTGGCACGTTCAGCGTGGTAGGCCATAGTCTTTCAGATTACTAGCTATGTATCTGAGACCTGGACAGTGAATAAGGATGACAGAAAAAGAATTGACGCCTTTGAGCTGTGGTGTTGGAGAAGAGCACTGAGTATCCCATGGACAGTCAAGAGAAGGAATAGGTATGTCTTGGAGAGGGTGCAGCCAGTGTGTCCTTTGGAGGCAAGAATAATCAGGCTTCAAATCACATACTTTGGACATATTGCTAGGAGGTGATATTCCTTGGAGAGGGACATGATGTTGGGAAGGGTGGAGGGTTGGCGAAGGAGGGGAAGACCCTCAACCTGGCGGACTGACACAGTGACTGCTCTTGTGTGTCAGGAAGTGAGGATGGCGCAGGATAGGACTAGGTTCAGATCTTTTGTTCATAGAATCACTATGAGTGGTACTCGACAGCACCTAACAACAACAACAACAACATATTCTTTGGAAAGGGACATCATGCTAGGAAAGGTAGAAGGTCAGCAAAAGAGGAAGACCCTCAACAGTGATATATTAACACAGTGACTGTAGCGATGAGGTCACGTGTGCTGAGGATGGCACAGTTCACGTGGTTCAGATCTGTTGTTTATGGGGTCGCCACGGATCGTCATACTCGACCTGATGGCACCTAACAACAATATGTCCAAAGTATGTGAGACAAAGCTTCGCCATCCTTGCCTCTGAAGACCATTCTGGCTGAACTTTCTCTAAGACATAACTGTTTGGTCTTTTGGCAGGCCATAGGCTGTTCAGCACTCTTCTCCAGCACCACAACTCAAAGGCATCATCCTTCTTCTTCTGAAGGTATACCTTATTTTTTTGCTTAGTATAAAGAAAAGATAAACAGGCCGTTCTAATACATTCTCATACGCTCAGTCGGAAGGCTAACGTCTGGGTAGGCGTGGAAAACCTCTGAACCAACTGGATTCCTACTCAGGCCAGAAGTCTGGGCCTCCGTCAGCCTGAGTATTTAGAGAAGATCTGAGAAGCTGGAGCCCTCCGCACCCACAGCAGCAGGCGTGCCCTGTGGAAATGGACTGCGTTCCACTCCTGTCAGTGTTTCTCAAATTCACCTAATTATAAGAATTACCCGGAGCCTTTTCGGTTCCACCCCGGGGAAGAGTCTAATCCCAGGAAGTCTGGGGCGGCGCCGCTGGAACGTGCTTATTTAAGGAACTGCGCCAGGTGAGTTTTGAGACTCAAAAGCGCCTGGGAAAGCCAGTCCAGGTTATCCCACCCAGGGACACGGGTTCGGCGCTAGGGCGTGCAGTCTCCGCCTCTGAGCATCCCCAGCGTGGGAAGGAGGAGGAAGAAAAGGCTCGGAGACAGAGAGCCTCCCCGCCTCCTCCTCCTCCTCAGTCCCGCCCAGCAAGCGCACTCCCAGCCCCACCCTTCGCGTGCGCCCTCGTGCCCCCCTTCCTCTCTCATCCATCAGATCCCTGGTGGCGTCTAAGTCCTACACTCTACGCTGTTTCTTGGAATCAGCTGACGGTTGCTGTTTCCTGTGCGAGTAAGTTTGCAGAGCAACAGACACCCTTGTTTTCCTTGGGGTGTGGCCTGCCGGTGCCTCTCCTCTCAGCCATTAAGCCGAACAGTCGTAGCGCAGGGGGATCAGAGCGCGGCCAGTGCGTCCAGCCTCCCGGGCACCTCCACCCACCCCGCCCCGCACCCGGCCGCTCGGCTCACCCAGGCCGGCAGGTGCTGGCCCTGCAGCTCGCGGCTGATGAAGAGGCGCTCGTTGTCCAGGAATTGGAAGGCGGCAGCCAGGCGCCCGAGCTTCCCGGCGCGGTTCTTGCGCCACCACAGCCACAGCAAGGCGCCAATCAGCAGCCAGATCATGCTGAGTCCCAGGTAGCCGGCCAGGTAGACCGGGACCAAGTAGAACAGCACGCGCGCCACGAAGGTATAAATATCCGGCAGCAACTGGCTGGCTAGGCGCGGCTCGGGACTGGGCGCTCGCTGGGACTCCGGGACACTCGAGTCGCAGGGGGCGTGGGACTCCTCTGTTGCCATCTCGCCGCTGCCTTCTTGTCCTTCACAAGAGCTTCTCCCGACTCAGGCCCCGGGACCCCGACGCCCGAGGACATCTGTCCACCTAACACGCTCAGGCCAGGACGCGCGCTCTGGGCCACTCCGCGCTCAGCGCTCTGCGCTTTCCGCGGTGCGTGCGCCCGAGCGCGGCCTGGGAATGAGCTGGGCCTGGGCTGCGCTGAGCCGCCCCGGCGCCCTCCCTGGGGCGGGGCCCTCAGTTCCGCATGTCTCCGCCTCCAGACTTGGTGACACAGGGCGGGACCGAGCATTGACAGGGACCCGCAGGAATCATCCTCCTACCCCAGCGTCCGGAGCAGTGGTCAGCTAAGGGCCCGGTGGTCAAAGCCAGAGCGGAACCCAGTGTGGGCCAGGTGCTGGCAACAGGCGGTTTATGATTCACCGAGGTCTGTGGGCAGCCGACTTGTGTATACACAGCATCCAGAACCTGTTTTCCACTTTTAGTCTACAATACACAGCTTCATTCAGACTCTCGGGCGCTCATTGGTCACCGTCTACAGACCAGCTCAGCTGGACCTTGCCAGCCAGTAAATTCGAACTGACGCTGCTGCTGCTCTCTCCTCACTAGTGGGCCCCAGATTCATGCAGTATAGCTCTGGCATCTTTGAAAGTTGGATCTAGGAGTTCTGGGGGCCTAGTGGCAAGAAGCTGCGCTGCAATCCCTAAAATGCCATGGTTTGAATCCACCAGAAGCTCAGCTGGAGGAGGGGCAATCTCCCGTGCCAATTGGATCCGATTCGACAGTACACAAAAAGGGGGAGGGGGAGTGAGAGAGAGAGAGAGAGAGAGAGAGAGAGAGAGAGAGAGAGAGTGTGTGTGTGTGTGTGTGTGTGTGTGTGTGTGTGTGTGTGTGTTGGGGCTAACCCTTAGCAGGAGTGGCATCCACTTCCTAAACAACATGCCTCCAGAAACTCTATGAACTTTGATAAATGTCATAGTTGTACAGGGGCTTCAGGTCGTAGGTTTATAGGGTCGCTATGAGTCGTGCTGGACTCGAAGGCAGTCAACAGCAACAACCCTTAGCCCTTCCTGGCCCTGGGCCCTTCTTGAGGTCAGACAGAGAGTGCTTCCCACCCTCTGTACGGGTTATCTGCTTGTATTTCTCTTTCCCAGCTTTATCACACCCAGAGCTTTCAGTGACCTGGCCTCCTGCTCATCTCCTGGGCACCCAGCCCAGCAGAGGAATGAGTGCCAGCCTGGGGTGTTTGCATTCTGGTGAAAGCCCATTGTTTCTGTTTGTTGGAGCCTTTCTTTAAAATACATACATACATAATAAAATTTTTATTTTCATTGTAATTTTAAAAGACTTTACAGAAAAGTTAGCATTTCATTCATTCATTGTTGCACATTTTACCCCCTTTCCCTCCCTTCCTCCTCCCCAAGTTGACTTCTTTTTTTAATACCAGTTTATTTACAAAATTCGAATACATTGCTTTTGGAGAACAGATTCTTCCCCTCATGGAGTTGTACAATTTGATGTTTGAGCCTTTCTAAATGATCAAGTAAGTTTCCTGGTAGCCTAATGGGTAAGGAGCAGTGCTGTCAATCTAAGAGAGAAGCAATTTGAATCAGCTGATGCTACGGGAAAGAAAGATGAGCAATCTCCTCGCCCTGTGCCCTTTACAACCTCTGTATTCCGGCTAGAGGCTCAGCCATGCGGTGATTCTCACTGGACAGCAAGGAAAATAGAAAATGATCGAACAGGTGGCCCTCTGAGTCCTTCCATTCAGATCATCGGTCACCTTGTGGATGGCAACATTTTAAGTGGCTTGAGTAAGCAAGCAGTCATGTCCCCTTGGATGTGATTTTTTTTTTAGCTGATAATTGTAAAGAAATTATGTAGATGAATTGCCTATTCCAGCAGCCACCTTGCTGAGAGGATGGGTGGACAGAAGAAGAGGTGCATTTTCTTTTTCTGATACAGGCCATGATCTTTGCAATCACTTGTTATGCATCAGAGAGTTGGACATTGACTAGGGAGGATAGAAGGAGAATTGATGCCTTTGAGCTTTGGTGTTGGAGAAGAGTATTGAGTGTACCATGGACTGCTAGGAAAACAAACAGATTCATCCTGGAGAAGGTTAAATTGGGTTGCTCCTTGGAGGCAAGGATTCTGAGGCTCCGTCTGATATACTTTGGACATGTTGTGAGGAGAGACCAGTCCTTGGAGAGGGACATCATGCTTGGGAGGGTGGAGGGACAGTGCAGGAGCGGAAGACCCTCTATGAGGTGGATTGATTCAGTAACTGGGGTAATCAGGGTGGGTGTGTTAGAGGCAGTGCGATTGGCACAGGATAGAACAGAGTTTAGGGCTGTTGTACATAGGGTCGCTATGAGTCGCAAGCGACTCGACGGCACATAACAACAACAACAACTGCCCCTTCAGCTCCTGTGGTCTCATCTCTGGATTTATCCTTCTCCTTGTTGGATACAATTGCTCCCAACGACGTTTTTCTTTTTCAGCTGCACAGGTGTTCCTGGTGGTCAGAATATTCGGCCCCTTGTCCACTGTTCTCACCTCAACAAATCTATCTTGGGGCAAGTGCAGCCAGGGTGCCCCTCAGAGACGAGGAGGGTGAAACGTTGTCTCAAAGACAATGTTTGGGAATGCTGTCAGCAGGATCCAGGCTTTGGGGAAAGGCATCTGCTGGAAAAAGTGGAGGGCCAGAGAGAGAGAGGAGGACTCTGTCATCCGCAAGATGGATTGGTCCGGTGACCGTAACCAGGGACTATCAGAGATGGTAAGAATGGCCCAGGATCATAGGGTTGGAAGAAGTCATAGCCAATTCGATGGCACCTAACAACAACATTATGTTAGCCTTAGCATACGGCTGTACCGCTCACCAGAAGGTCAGTGGTTCAAAATCCACTAGCTTCTCAGCAAGAGAAAGATGGGCTGTTTTCTCCTGTAAAGTCACCCTGAAACCAGATGGAGAGGCGAACGACCGTGGGGCGTCTTCTGTTGTTCTTAGCATTCCAATATTCAGCCATAGCGGAAGCAGAAAACCTCTCAATTTGACATACGATCCGCACTCGCCGCCCCTGGTCCAGGAATGACTCATATGCCGCCCCTCCAGTGAGTTTCTCAGGCTGTAAATCACCCGGGAGGAAATTGCCCGTCTTTTGCCCTCAGAGCCGCTGGTCAGTTAGAACCGAGAGGTGTGACCTTAGGGTTAGCAGCGTATCATTGGACTACACCGTCAGAGCTCCCTAAGGTACCATCACACTGACATGTCCCGGTATTGTTAGATGTCATCAAGTCAAGTTCGATTCATAGCGACCCTACAAACAACAGATCTGAACGTTGTCCTGTTCTGTGACATCTTCCTCATCCCTGGCACACTTGCCCATCACAATCATTGTGTCAATTCATCTCCTTGGAGGTCTTCCTCTCTTTCACTGACCCTCCACTTTTCCAACCATAATCTCTCTTTCCAGGGAATAGCCTCTCCTGGCAACATGTCCAAAGTATGAAAGATGAAGTGTCATCATCTTTGCCTCCAAGGAGCACTCTGGCTGCACTTTTCTTCAAGACATGATAGACGGTAAAGAGATCGAGATTGTTAACAGCTTCAGCTTGCTTGGCTCTACAATCAACACTCTTGGTATCAGCAGCCAGGAAATCAAAAGACAAATCGCATTAGGAAAATCTGCTGTCAGGGAAATCTCCAGAGTACTGAAGAGCAACAATATCAGTCTGGATACTAAGGTGCACCTGATCCAGGCCATGGTCTTAGCAATTACTTGATACGCATCAGAGAGCTGGATGATGGCTAAGGACGGTAGGAGAAGAATTGACACCTTTAATTTTGGTGCTGGAGAAGGGGATTGAATATACCATGGACTGCTAAGAGAATAAACAGGTTCATCTAGAAGAGGTTGACACCAGGCTGCTCCATGGAGGCAATGATTGTGAAGCTCCATCTGACATACTTTGGACATGTTGCTAAGTAGGGACCAGTCCCTGGAGAGGTACATCATGCACGGAAGGGTGGAGGGACAGTGCAAGAGAGGAAGATCCTGGATGAGATGGACTGACTCAGTGACTGGGATAATAGAGGTAGGTGTGTCAAAGACAATGAGTTTGGCTCAGGATAGAGCAGGGTTCAGAGCTATTTTCACTATGAGTCACAAGTGACTTGATGGCACAACAATAACAACAACAACTACAACATCTGTTTGTTCTTTTGCCAGTCCATGGGTTAGTTAGTACTCTTCTCCAACACCACAGCTCAAAAGCATCAATTCTCCTTCTGCCATCCATATTCATTGTCCAGCTCTCAGAGGCATAGCAAGTGCTTGAAAAGACAGTGGCCTGAATGAGGTGCACTTTAGTCTTTAAACTGACGTAATTGCTCTTTAGTATTTCTGGGAGGTCCTTGATAGCAGACTTGCCCAATGCAATGTCTCCTGATCTCCTAATTGTTGGTACCAAGGATGTGGACTTTGGATCCAGGCAAAATGAAATTATGGACCACTTCAATCCTTTCCATTTATCATGATGTTGTCTTTTGGCCCAATGTGGTGGTGTCGTTATGTGCCGTTGAGTCACCTGTAACCCATAGCAACCCTACGTACAGCAGCTCTGAAGCCAGTCTCACTGACATGGACACACCATCCCTCATTGTCCCTGTTACTATATCAATCCATCTCATCCAGGGTTTTCCTCTCCTGCACTGGCCTTCCACCTTTCTGAGCATGATGTCCTTCTCCAAGGACTAGTTTCTCCTGGCCACATGCCCAAAGTATGTGAGATGGAGCTTCAAAATCTTAGCTTCCAATGAAAAATTTGTTTTCACTCTCTCAAGACAGACCTATTTGTTCTCTTGGCAGTGCATGGTCTGTTCAAGACCCTTCTCCAGAAACACAAACTCGAAGGCATCAACTCATTTTCTGTCATCCTTAGTCATTGTCCAGCTCTCTGATGCAGAGCAAGTCATTACAAAGACCATGGCCTGAATCCA